AGACTGAAACTTCACAATTTTTGATTGTTTGGAAGAGAAAAAAGAGTCACATTTACCTTTCTTAACTTGTTCTTTCTTTTTTATCTTATACTTGTGCTATGTGCATTGGCTCCTGCCTCCTGAGCTTTAGAAGAACTGTAGGCTATTTTTCTGCTCAGATGAGCACTTGAGCTTAATGGATTGCTATTTGATAAGGTGTTCTAGATATATAATGTATTATATCTATTCATAATTAGTATTTCTACAAAAAATTCGGGGGTACAGCTATACCCCCATGCACCTATACTACATCTGCTCCTGATGTGCATACAATTTTGAAATACGAGATACAACAAAAAAGTTTTACAATAGTGGAAGGTTTCCTGTCCACAGTTTCATAAGTTGAAATTAATGGCAGCTTTCTTTATCAAATGAGAATACAGGTATTATTAATCCGAATTTCTGTGCTGATGACATGCCCTTCGGCCTTCACAAATAAGCCAACAACCACTTAACATCCTTTTTTTTCTTGAATACACAGGAGAGCTGTGTATCATTGCATTAAGAAGAAGAATAAAGAAGTTACACCACACCTGCACACTCAAACACCCACCCACTCACAGCCTACTAATTAACAGAAAAACCAGGAACAGGAACAGGAACTTCAACCAAACTAATCTAAATGGTCACTCAAATGACCACAAAACACCCTTTGTATTGTTCTGGAAAGAACTTACGACATTACAGAGAAGATGATACCTGGCAACTTGTCTGGCCGGAGAGAACGCCTGATTAACAATGGTGGCTGAGGATACAAGCGAAGGGCTTCAAGAATAATCAGTTTTATGTACCTACACGGCAATGCAAAAGGGTTTCATGAGGAAGGCAAATTCATTTCAGATGTATAAATATAGCTAGTAATTTCAGAAAAGTCGTATGCCATGGATATGCTATTGTTAATAATCTGATCGTATTTTTTATGAAACAATAAGCCAATGATATTGTTAAGCATCATACACATATCCCTCAAGAAATGGAAAATAAGAATCAATGCTAGTTGAATTCAAAATAATGGTACAGGTGACATACTCTAGCTTCTTGAGGGATTCAACAGTAATTGCCCCATTGCTGAGAACAGAATCAACCTCTGCCTGGGCTTTTCTCATCTTGGTAGAGCTCTGCATGACACCACAGTATGACCATACATATTCAAGCAAAAATTTAATTACTTGAAGAATTCTGTGATAACATCTGCGTACCTGGGCTAGCAAAAAAACAGACCATGTCAGAACAGCAGCAGTTGTTTCATGTCCAGCAATAAGCATCGTCACAAGATCATCTCGAAGCTGTCACAACACAAACCATGAAATTCATCAACTTAATTTGCTGCAAATAGGAAGAAACAGAAAGCATAACATAAAATTCTAACATGCCCGGTTTCCGCAATTTACCTGGCGATCATCAACATCAGCTCCCCGCATGTCAACAAGGAACCTCAGCAAGCTGGCATCCTAAAAGCATGATGACACAGATATGAGATACTATTCACCAAAAATCCCTAGACATTAAGAAAGGTAAACTGGTGAGCATTGACACTGATGAATTGAGTCAACAAAGGAAGGAGGAACAGCAGCCAACCTTCAGAGAAGAGTAGTCCCTTTGCTGGAGCTTTTCCACATCAGCTTCCTATATAGCAAGTTTACAACATCAGAACTACAGAAAGCTCCTTAAAATGCCACCAACTTAGAACTGAGCTTCAGTTGCACAAACCTGTCTTGTCTCCTTTGCATTTTTTATAAGGTTATCAAGGCAATTGTTGATCACTTTGAGGTCACTATGGAACTTGCGCTGCCTTGGAACAATCCATTTTGTCAAAGGAAGATTCCAGTAGGGGATGTAGAAGGTGGAACGGTGCTCAGCTTCGAAAAGTGTTCCATACACTGCCTGCAGAATGGAGATAGAAGCTCCTCAAACCAGGGAAGAGAAAAGTAGCAGAAAAACACAATCCACATCTACCCAAGATAGTCACAAATTATGAATATTCTACTTTTAGTCAAATTCTCTATATGAGCATGTGTAATACATCCTATACACAAATAAACATACTGTAAGATAGAACTACAGATATACCAACCTTGATTACAAAAAAAAAAACCCATAGTGGGGAACCTCAGTTTTTTTTAATACCAACCTTGATTACAGGAGATTCCTTAGTAACCGAGTCAAAATCAAAATTGAACACACCCAAGCCAATGATATCGAGTGCCAAATTGGAGAACTCAGCTTCAAGGTCCACTATAGTCGATTTTTGTTCACGACCTTCGCTTTCAGTAAGCTCTTCAAGCTTTGATATTGTTCTCTCTGAACATTTCGTAAATGTTCTCACCATAGCTTCTATAAATAAGGCATGGAACCCAGGTGTTATAACTGCAGAACACAAGGATAGGATAAGGTGTGCCATTAGTAAAATATTGTGTGAAATGCATACATGAAGTTCAAATGATCTCTAAAACAATTCGATTATGTTGAATTGTTGATTGATTGCCTCGTCAAACAGCAGTAACTGTTAAATATCGCACTTAAAGACAGAAAAATGGCCTATGTTTCATCCCTCAAGGCAAAAAGCAAGCTAATAAATTCAGAATTGAAAGAAGCACTAGGATCATTTTGCATGCCTAGAGATGTCGTTTTCAGAATACACAAATACACACAGAAAACTAGAAAGGACTGGATTTGAAGCTCAGGCCAATGATCAACCTGCTACTTTTGACTAACAGTATGGGCTATGCCCATAGATTAATGCAGAGCAATCTGCAGTATTGTAGTCAGTCCAAACTAGAAAACACAGAAAATATGATTGAATATCCAACCTTTCTAACCTTTTCTCCTTTGCTTCCAGGTATCAAGGTCAGCAGGTATAAGACCCTTCCCCATTATGGGTTTTAAAATTTCAGTGAGAACTCCCTGATTTCAAGTAAGAAATACCATGTAAGAAAGAAACCCGCCAAACTACACCAATTATTATTCATTAGCAAAGTCAGCTCTCCACGACAAGTAATAATATATGCAGAATGCAGCTGTAGTGAAGCAATCATGCTATAAATAAGCTTCCAGCCATCATGGGTGTAAGGTGATCATGGTCCAAATCCTTGTATATTCCATAGTTTTCAACAATCCTTTTTTTTAACGAGTTTTCAACAATCCATATCTGACACTAGTATGGTACATGCTAGACAGCAAACCTTATCATAACAGAAAGCGTTCTCCCGGAGGATGTGTCTAGCAACAATAGGGTCAGAAACCACAACGAACGATTTGGGTCCAAAAGCAAGCTTGTAGACAGAGCCATGCTGCGAATTTAAGACATCATAACATGTCAGTGTTGCAGGATATGTCCTCATAGTTTCTAAGTCGAATTTTCCTATGTGGTAACTGGTAAACTAAGTGGAGAACAGAGTTATATTAAAGAAACGAAACGATGATAATGCACGAGACGCGGGGGTACAGGAAGGGGCTGCGCATTCACCTCAAGGAACCAATCATAGAGCGAGAAGAAGAGGGGCTTGCCGAAGAGGTCAGTGACGGCGCCCTCGGCGACGGGCATGGCCCCGAGGTTGCCGCCGCTGAGGAAGTTGGTGAGCAGGTTGCTGGCGTTGTCGAGCAGGTTCCGCTGCTTCGGCTTAGGCGGCGGCGGCTGCTGCTGCTTGTCGACGCTGGTCGACTGGCACCTGCACCAACGCCCAATTGCCACGGGCCGATCGATCAGCCACTCAGACTAGTAGTGATTGTTCTGTCAGGTACCAACAGTAATTCGTGCGAATTCAGCAGGCGGCACCCCACAACTGCAGGCTGGAGCCGATAACAGCCCATTGTTCCCGTGGTGGAACAGTGCAGGAAACAGGTCGAGCACCTGGCGGGCGGCCACGCGTTGACCGTGGCCACCGGCGGCGGGAGCGAGCGAGGAGGTGGGTGAGGGCCCGTACGCGCGCGTACCTGAAGATGAAGGTGAGACGACGCCTCCCGTGGGACGCGGACGGGGCGGAAGCCGCGGTGCCGAGACGCGGCGAGGCGGCGGTGGCGGGCCCCGGGAGCAGCGTGGCCGCGGCCATGGCGCTGGAGCCCGGCAGCAGCACAAGAGCAGTGAGGTGGAGCGTGGTGACTGGTCACTGGACCTGGACGGACAGAGATAAGGTGGCCGCGCTGAAATTGAATCGTGACGCGATCGGAATATCGGGTCGTGGAGTCGGAGAGAGAATGGTGCGGTGGGCTGGCCGGTTGCGCGCCGACCACGGAACGTGGCCTGGACGGCGCGGTGCGCTGGTCTGGTCCGGCCACCGGCCCGAAACGTGGAGCGCCCGAGTCGAAGCGGTGCTCCAGTGCCCACTCCGACTCCACTGCTAGTGCTAGTATCACTATGTTTTTCTACTTTCCTTTCATCGAAATTGTTTGAAAATCACCGGCCTCGTTCGTGGGCAAATCACCTGCCCTTCCTCTCCAATCCTCCGGTGATAGTTGCATTGCAAACTTAAACTTTATTAGGAGTAATAGCAAACAGTTAAGTGCATGCTTTATACAGAAAGAGAGAGCGACAAGACATCAGTTCATCCAGAAAGCTCAACACTGTTTTTTTTTTTTTTTGCGAGTGAAAGCTCAACACACAGCGTAGAGGAACCAGAAAGCGACAAACTACACAGCTTTAGACGAGCAATATGTTTTACTGTCAGTCTCAAATCCAGAGGGAAACACAGCACGTGTCCGCTCGCGGCCCAAAATAATCCGCAGTCCGCAGATAAGCGAGCCCATTAGGACCTCGCACGGCACGGTGACGCGGTGGGCCGAGCAAGAGGTAATGCTCTGACTGGGCCTGCTTCAATCTACGAACGAGGAGTCTCACGAACGAGGCAAATGCGGATGATCTGGACATCTGGTTGACCGCCGCCCAATCGGGGTTAGGAACGGACGGACAGATCGACCGTCCAATCACCACGCGCTCGGTGGTGGTCTGGTGGTAAGCGCCGGCGATGGCGGAGGCGGCGACGGGGGCGGTGCGGGTGGAGAAGGTGCGGGGGAGGTCGGCGCTGACCCGCTGCTTCGCCAGGTACCCGCTCAAGCTCATCGCCCCGTCCAAGGTGGGCCCCTACTCCTGCGACGCGGTGTGGCTCTACGCCCTCACCTACGGCGGCGGCATCGTCTCCGTGAGTCCCGAGGACCTCCCTCCACTCTCTGTTCTCTCCGTTCTTGCCCGCTGCGCCGTTGCTGGGTACTCGCGGTTCGGAGGTGGTTGCTGTAGCGTAACGGGCTCCTGGTTGCCGCGCCCGCGCGCGCCCTTGCAGGGGGACACCATATCGTGCACGGTCAGCGTCGGCGACGGGTGCACGGCGGCGTTCACCACGCAGGCCTCGACCAAGGCATGCTGGTTGCTTAACGAAGCTTGACTCTGCGCTTCGTGCCTATACTTATACTATGGCTGTTTTGTGTGGTCTTGTGATGCTTACCCGTGTAATGCCGTATGGTACTGTATAGAACCTTGACCAGAAGATGTCTGGATTCCAAAATACTGGCTCTGTAGGAATGTATGATAAACAAGAGTCTATGAGCCTTCCAGCTGCACTGTTTAGGCTGCATTAGTACAATGTGGGAGGCATCCCTACTTGGGTAATTTCTTCCTCTGCTCATGGTAGAAACTAGTGATTGTTCATGAGTTCATCACAATGCTGAACACAAGGACTGGCACGTTAAATTCTCCAAATCTGGGAGCTCTGCCACTGGCTGAACAAAATTCAAACTGTGTGTGTGTGTAGGGTGGGGTGGGTGGGTCTTTCTACTGTGAACCTTTTAAAGTTCAACAAAGAAATTAGCTAGCTGATGACGTTCTCTTACTAAGATTGTTTAGCCCTGATCTTTCTAGCTTTGGAATACTACTCCAGTGTTTCCTGCTTCAGGAAATCATTCAGCTCAGTTATTGCCATGCCTAAGCTTTCATGAACTAACAACTTCATAAAAAATGTCAACTGAAAGTTGCTGATTTCCTTCATTCAAGTTTTTTGTCTACATGTCAACTGAAAAGTTAGTTTCAATCAGATCTGTTGTATTTTTCATGGTCGGCAAGTACTCGTGTAAGCTTAACTAGTCCGTTGATGAAATTGTCAACTGCAAAATTAGTTTGTTTCAAATCTGCTGACTTTATTTATACACTTCTGATTGGCAAGTACTATTGTAGGTGTACAAGGCTGTGGGTTCAAAATGTTCTGAACAGTTGCTAGAGGTAATTCTTCTTCCAAGGCATTTGTTATATTAAAGGGCTCTTAGTTGCATTCCTAACTAGAAAGGTCCATGATTAAACATTTATTACATGCAGTAGGCCAGAGTTGGGGAAGATGCCCTGCTTGCTGTTATTCCAGACCCTGTAACCTGCTTCTCAACCGCTCGGTACCACCAAAAGCAAGTTTTTCAAGTCTCTGCCAATTCAAACCTGGTAGTTGTAGATTGGTTTACAAGTGGCCGTTATGAGAGTGGAGAAAAATGGGATTTTAGCTTCTACAAAAGTGTCAACCATATTTTCTTGGGAGATCAGCCTCTCTTTATTGACTCGGTAAACACTATTGACCTCTCCTCCTAGCATGTTTTCGTTATGTTAAATTGTTAATCCATTTCCATTTTTGTTTATGTTGTTCACCATTCTTAGCACGCCATATATATTTGAGCAGACTTTATTGGAACAAGGCTCGAATTATAGCATTGCTGAACGGATGCAGGAGTACAATGTGATTGTGATGGTCGTGTTACTGGGGTAAGGTCAATACATCATCATCTCAAACACATGTTGCCTTATGCTCTGGTCATCTCTGTTTGAACATTTGAAAGTTATTACATGAAGTATCAAATAGCACTACACCGATGAATTTGCATTACTCGCTTCAGCCTAGAAGCTTATATTTTTTTGTTTTGCAATTATTGTTGTAGGGCACAAAGTTAACAGTACCATATGCTATGATTGCCTATTTCTGTTTCTGTCAATAACTCAATATAGCTAACAGTTCACTGCTGTATTCATAGGAAGAGCTAGTGTTATATGCAAGGGCCTATCTAGGATTTGGTCTTTTCTACTAGGAACAAATCGACAAATGAAATTGTTAGAAATCAGGAGTTCAGGACATACATTTTTGGAATTTAAGCTACCATTTGCCTGACGGAAAAGCCTGGCTGACAGAATCCAAACTATATTGCTCATGATTCATGGCATACTTTCCTCTGAAGGCCAAAGCTGAGGCACATACAAGACAAGATGCAAGACGAAATGAAGAAGCTGATGTCCGGGCAACTGCGCCCTCCCACATCCGGCGGTAGCCTCTACACTATGAGATCAAAACCTCCCCAGCGTCCACAAAGGCCTCCGCTCATCGCCTCTTGCAGCCCGTTCGGCCGCACGGTTTGTCGCTGCTCCATCTCATCGTTGTGCTAGATTCGATTCTTATGTGTGCGCTTTGGGCCCCTTTGGCTTATGAAAACGGAACACTGCATCTGTCATCATTTTTGGCCGCAGGGAACAGGCATGGTTGCTCGGGTAGCCGCGGTGAGCATGGAGCTCGCGTACAGCTTCTTGAGACACCATCTGGCCGCGCTGGAGCCGTTCCTTGGTGCTTCCCCTTATGCCGCGTCATGAAGCTGACAGACGGGCTGAGGAAGCTGGCGAGTGCTGATGCTGAAAGGATCCTTGACCTTCAGTTTGCATGGGGAAACTGTTGGATATACCATTGATTGTGTGCCGTGGTGTTCATCTCAGGTTTGTCAGCAGGCAAATTGTAATTGTAGAAGAATTCTAGGGTGGCCAGAGTTTCTGATTTTGGTTGGCCAAGTTACTGGTTGGGATTTGGGAGTGAGCATGTTGCAACTCAGTTGGGTGAAATAGCGTTGCCTGGACCTCAGTGTGAAGCAGACGCATCTCATCTGTCATAATATAATAATATAACCTGGAAACCAATTTGCTGGAGTCTGGAGAAGGCTAGGTTTTTAACAGGAATGTTTACATGAATACCAAAGCAGCACGCGAGTACACCGAAGTGGACGCCACGTAGGTGCCACACGTGGCCGTGGTGTTGCTGAGGTGGCCCTGGGGGAGCTGGAGGGAGGAGGAGACCAACGGTCAAAAGGGCCGTACAATAATGGAGGCGTGGGGATGGCGAAACCTGAAGCGCGCACAGGTGAGATGGGGGCGGATGCTGCCTCCCTTTCCCCTGCAGCTTCAAGAGCTGCCGCAGCGCCAGCGATTGGACCACCCCCCGCCCCTCCTGCTCCCCAGGCCCCAGCCTCTTTCGCTCCATCCACCATTATTGCCGCTTTGCCAGCTCCATCACAGAAGGGTCCAACAAGTTTAAGCAAATCCCTAGAAATTTGCCTCGCATCTCTCCCCCCCCCCCCCTCTGTGTGTGTGCGCGCGCGCAAATTTGAGTGATTTTGAATATTTTAGGCTTTCAGCCGCCTTTTCGGAGTAAAATCTGGCATGAGTTGTGTTTACTCTACTGAAGGCCTTGCGTGCGTTAATGTGGCCAAGCAAAGCGCATGGCCTCCATTTCGATCACTTTGCTGGCGATGCGCATGGAAAAAGCCTGTTGGTTTGGCCCCCGGCGCACTCCAAAGTTGAAATCTTGAATGAGGAGAAGAGACGGATGAGACCATCACAGCATCAATCAATGGACAGGACGCTGGACGGCAGGAGGACTGGAGGAGGGGTCTGTCTGTGGGTGTGGGTTGCCTTTGTGTGATTGTGTCTGGTGAGGTCCAGCCGTGCAGCCAAGCAGGACTGCAGGTCTGCAGGAGGGAGGTGTAGCAACATGCACGTCAATCGTTGCGGGAGAGGGGGAGCCGAGGTTGCTTTGACACCACAGGAGAGTGCGGGTATATTTTTTTTGTTATCGCTGCTTCTCCAATATTGGCAAAAAGAACCGCATCAGTACCTCACGGTAAAAATACCACTACTACCACCACCTCGCATCGGACGAACAGGTGATCGATCTTCTGTGCAACAAAGGGGAGCGAGCTAAGCTAGCAAACCCAAGTAGCATGTCCACACCGCACGTTGGACGTGTCCGCCGGGCAACGGGAGCCTCTCCATGCATGTTCCCCGATCGGCAGAAGCAGATGCCCTGTCAGCTTGGCTCATAAATCGTATTTTTTTAATTAACGAACAATATTTTTTTCTCACAATAAATCAGCCGACAGTCTTTTTAACTATGGCCGAACATGACAAGAATGTGGTGGTGGCGGTCCCCGCTCTGCTCGGATCTAGACTAGATTGTGGTCGCACCGGCGCTCTAGCTAGCGGCTAGTGTTATGGCAAAGTACACAAGACACGATCTACTCCGTACAGAAGTGTTGTTGTTGTACTCGTATTGTTGGGTTCATAAACCCGGGGTCCCTCGGGGACCGGCTTCCACGCCAAGGCTCGGCTCAAGCAGACAGCACATAACTCATGGGCCGGCCCAAGGGTCTAAAAACAACAGGCCGAAAGGGCGGTCCAGTCACCGACCGGAAGGTCTGGCCGAAGAGGAACAACGCCCGCTCGTCGACTACTTCGGCCCACCTCTCCGACCGGAGCGTTCGCTTCGGACTCCAGCCGCCTCCGGGCGACCTCTCGTCGGAAGGCCTAGCCCGAAGCGCTACCTCCAACTCCGACCCCGCGTCTCCGACCGGGGTTCGCAGAAACCCTGCTCACCGCTCTTCTCCGACTGGCGCAACCAGGGCCGACTGGGGCCATCCAACCGGGGACACCCGCTCAGAAGGAACCAGGGGACGAACGGAGAAAGCAGGCCAGGGCGCACAAGTCAAACCACGATACCAGAGATCATATCCTGTACACCTGCAGGAACAGTACTCTGCAAACTACCCTGACACAAACAGTATTGTAGGCGCCGTTAACTCCCATACGGTAAGGCCCTCCACATGCCTCTGGGCATCGATAGTGTTGTGGGCGTCAGGATTTACTGTACCAGGTGAACGTGGTGAGACTCCTCATATGCCTCTAGGCATCAACAGTATTTGTAGGTACCGACATTTTCTATTTCTGAAGAAGGCAACACAGCCTCCCACATGCATCTGACATTCTACAGTGACATTAACAGTGTTGTAGGTGCCTACCATTATCTTATACCCACCGGCATGGGCAACAGAGCCTAGTAGCATACGTACCATCACCCTCTCGCTTGTAAAGGCATCCCTTTTATCTATAAAAGGGGATGCGCTCCCTCCAACAAAAGAGAGCTTTTTAGTCCTTTTTAGAAAACCAACATCGATCAAGTTCACTAGCTCACAACCGCAGAACCGTCGGGTTCGAACCCCAAGCACACGCCTGAACACTTAGCTCATAGCGGAGCTTCTGTCGCTCCCGGCCCTTCCGACCGGAGCCGATCGGACCTCTTGTATGCCCCATCTTTCTTCTTCTCGTTTGTAACCCCACTGCAGACTTCGAGCACCTGGGCTAAGAAATAAAGTCATCGACCGACTCAAACTAGACGTAGGGCACGTTGCCTGAACCAGTATAAACCCTGTGTCATTGAGTGCTAGGCGACCTCCGATCACAATGTACGACAAAACTACAAATATTTACTAGTTGGTCACATTCTGCACTGATAGTTGGCGCCGTATGTGGGGAAGACGTTGTACGTTCAACACTTTTTGGTCATCGGATGACCCATTTTTTTGCCACCCTCGCCGTGACGGGCTCGGGCGATACGATTCGCTTCGGCTCGCTGGAGTTTCCCGCACTCTCAATGGCTGGGATGCGGGTTCCACCCGTCTTCGAGCCATCCCAGGCCTTCCTCTTCGGAAGCCTGGACTTCGTCGCCGACCAGCTCAGCGTACTACGCCTCCGCGTGGAGGCTCATGTCCCGGCACCCGTCGGAGGGGCGCCCCCCTTCGACTCCGAGACGCGCGATTTCGACGACGCGGCATCTGCGCTTCATTCCGAGCAAACTCTCTGCTTAAACCCCACTGCAAGTAATATGTGTACTGTTATTTACTATCTCCCACCAATCATCCGGAGGGACTGTATCACCCACGACACAAACACCGTACGATCGGTTCCCCTACGGCCTCGCGTCCTCCGCGGATGCGTACGCTCGGGGGCTCCGAAGGATGCTGGCGCCATCCCCCTCGCATCCGAATTCGTGGGAATGGCAGGCTACGCTCCTGCCGTTTTCCACGAACTCCCGGATAACGAGGGCGAGAGCGACGGTTCCAACATCGGCGATGTGGCACCCCGCCACCGTCCGTCCTGGGAGTGCGCTATGGTGGACGCTCCGGGACAGCCGTCGGTGGTTGTGGATTCTGCGCAGACTCACACCCCTTCGGACCCGCATGTGGGGGCCCTCGCATCTAAGCACGCGCACGCTGAGGAATTACGACAACGGCGGCAGAACCAGCCGCCGCCTACGCCGGCGCAATCGGTACAGCACGTTGCGCCCCATGCGCATGGCCCGGCGGGTGGCACCCGGGGTCGCGCCCGTCGGGTCCAACATGACATCATGAACGATGGGAACGATCTCCCACAATTCGCTCAGGCTGGCCAGAACATCGCTGCTGCGGCAATGCTTCTACGCGGCGTTCCTGAGCCCGTCGACCCCCAGGAGCGGGTAGTCTACCGGAACCTCCGGGTTCTAGTAGAAGCCGCTGCCGTTCAACAGGCGGAAAGCTCCGTGTCGCGACTACGACTCGTGCCCTCTCTCCCCACCGGAGGGACAGGGACTTACCGGACGGATCGCTCCATTCGGTCGCCGCTACAGCCATCAGGCGCGGCTCGGGGGGCGGTAGCCGCGCCATGGTCCGACCCGGTGCCTGCTCCACACCGACCGCCGGTACGCGTGTGGCCCGATCCGCACCAGGACGCTCGTAGCATCGTCAGCAATCGGCATCGGGCCCGACACGATGATGATATCCACCGTACGGCGGCGGGCGACACGAATCCCGGCCGAACCATCGAGGGGAGCGGTGAAACGTGCCCCAGAAGCGCTCGCCGGCCAGACGACCGGAGCCCCAGCCCTGAGGGCCCGGGACCATGGGCCTTCAGCCCGCGTATCCGGAGAGCACCGTTCCTGCGGCGTTTCCGACCACCCACCAACATCACCAAGTACACCGGGGAGACAAACCCAAGCATTTGGCTCGAAGACTTCCGGCTCGCCTATCGAACCAGAGGAATGGATGTTGACTATTTCATCATTTAGTATCTTCGCATTTGCGTGAGGGAACATGTTCGGGTATGGCTTGAGTTCCTCCCGCACGACAGCATCCACGACTGGGCGGACCTTAAGAGGGTCTTCGTCGGAAATTTCCAGGGGACGTATGTCCGCCGTGGAAACTCCTAGGACCTCAAGAGCTGCCAGCAGGAGCCTAGTGAGTCCCTGCGGGATTACATCCGCAGGTTCTCCCAACGATGCAACTCCCTCCCTGATGTCGTCAACGCAGACGTCATCAGCGCATTCCTCTCCGGGACAAATTGCGAGTCCCTGATCCACAAGCTTGGCTGCCTGAAACCCCGTACCACCCTTGACCTGCTCGACGTCGCCACTAACCACGCCTCTGGCATGGAGGTGGTCAGAGCAGTCTTCAGCGGAGGCCGAGACAAAGGCAAGGCCAAGCGCGCGGACCCAGACGAGAGCCCCTCCACACAGA